ACAGAATTTATCCGGTTTAATATTGTCTGCTCAATTTATTACGCCCTACTGGACGAGGCGGTGGGCTCAAAACAATGATAAACCCAAAATCTTTGACTCGTGACGACAACACAGTTAGGTTCAATGACTTCACCCCATCCGCCTAATTTAGTATTGAAATGACTTTCGTCGTGTATCTCAAATCGATGCCTACAGTGGCCAAACACTGCTTTACTTATTTATTTAAGCTGTTGCATTCTTTACACAAATAACAAATAGTCAAAAAAGTTGGGTGACAATATGTTCACTCTGTTTTGTGTGCATCTTAAGATATTTGTATTACATCATTTCTTAGATTATAGTCAGCTGTATCGTGTGCAACATTATACAATATAATTGTAAATATTAGATGGATTAATGAAATTTTAAATGAGTCCATATTAAGACGTACAACCGCAGATGACTATGATTTATGATTAATCTCTCCGTACTTATTATTGACCTTAAATATTTTGAGATTACTTTTTACTTTAAAGTGGATTACTATGTATTTATGAATGTTTATTTATAATGAAAAAGAATAACTTTTGAAGATTATGCCTCATGACGAATGACGACAAGACGAAATTGAGTCTTTTTCAACTTGGGTATACTCTTTTATTGCAATAACATTGATCGTGTATATGTATCTCAAATCGGAATCACAAGATTGTTTGGCTTCGTTTCATATTCAGTCAGAAAACATAAATTACTTCTCGTTGAATCAGTATTTTCTAATCTGTCTCTAAATAAATTCCAGATACGGAGGGGATTAATAATCAAAGATTCGGCGGAGACGCATGGCAAATTGCCTTTTTCAAAATTTAGAGCAAATTTTATAATACGTTGCGTATTAAGATTAATCATACAATATCAGTGAAGTCTTTCAATTATCATAATCCTATAACCATAAAAGGTGGGTTAAATCTTCCACTACTTTGTATTTACGATCCTATATAAAACAATGATACTAGATACTATTGATGGGGTTACGAGACGGTAGTGTAGTAATATTATAGTGACATTACATCACGGGAATTCCGCCCACGCATTAAATATCATTGTTCTGTAATTTGAAAGCTGAATACATTGAAAATATATTTAACTTTGACAAATATTAAATATTTTGTCGGAAAACAAACCTAGTTTGGTTTCTTTTTCTATGTGTGAATGTAAAATCATTCTTTTGCATGTCTGGCGCAATAAAATTTTTGTAGATTAAAGACAACACCTAGGTTTGTTGATAGTCGGATGAGAACTTCTATTCTAAAAATAAAATACAGTATGCTTGGTACAATATTGGTGTTTCTTGATTCTGTTGTCATTTGTAAAGACGTAGACTTATGAAATCGTTGATCCGAATGAGACTTTTGTAAACATAGATTAATAAAAAAATTCATGTAAACATAAAGGGTGATTTGGGAAGGCTGGAGCCATGTTAAGTTAGAGTCGAGAACCGAGATTGGCGCTTTCATGGCCTTTTCCCCGTGTTTTTGAATAAAACATACTTTTGTCTTACTCTCTGTTATTCGTAGCTTATTGTTATCTAGTTATTTGTGAGGTGGCGCGAACGACTTAACAAAGTCTAAAACGGTGGCGCGGCTTGAAAGGTTTAAGAACCACTGGTTCAAAAAGTATGTTTAAAACACCCTTTCGCATTTAAAATTTGCAAGTTGGAGCCACTTTTTACTCTTGGGTTGGCCTTTTACTTTGGTAGAATTGTAGCTGAATATTAAAATTGATATGGCTAGGAAAAATGTAATTAAAGTGATTGTAATAATCAGCATAGATGAGCTGATAGGTTCAACATTAAAAATACATAAAACGGGGTGTGAGTATGATTGTTAAGGTCATTAGGATTGGAAGAATTATTTACTTATACTAAGTTGTGTCTTATACTAACTCGATGTCCTGTCCTTAATTTCGAGTAAATAATTTCTAAACTCGACATGTTAAACCATGTAAGGAAACAAATTCATGATGTGAATTGATGTAACAAAATTTAAGAAATAAATTTTGTCCGCACGGTCGGATGAATACTGGAAACTTATATAGTACTTATGTATATTTAAAGACGAAAGAGTCGGAGACCTGGTTCAAAGTAAATCTATATAAACATATTTGCCTTACGAGAACAAGTAAAAACTGTCGATTGAAGGGCATTTTAAAATAAAAGTTATAGAAAAAGAGATGAAGTAAGAGAAACATTATGTAGGTAAAACAAATATTTGTTCGTCTATAGTTCCATAGTAATATTTGGATTGGTAACCATAAATTAAATACGAATTAGGTGGATGGCCTCCCGAGACACTGTAAAATAAAAAATAAAATAAAAAGTGCGATTTCCATGTTTGCAGCATCAATACATTCAGTCAAGTCTTCAATTTTTTCGTAATTTCATACAAAACCTAAAATTGGAATATGTGAATGATTTTTTTGGCATTTGATCAATGTTTTGAAAGGCCGTAAACATGTTTATAAATAATTTTTGTTGCATCTGAGTATAATATTCAGAATTTCAAAATTGATACACGATGCTCATTTATTAGAGATTCGATGTAAATAAACCATTGATATATGTCGATAGGAACTCGGCGCAATATAAGGGCGTATCTAGATAAGTATATTATACAAACACAGACACTAATGATTTGATCTGTCGCCCAGTTAAACAACGTTCTTTTGTCAATATTGGAAGATATTTCGCGCCAAAACAACGACGATATAATTAAGCTTTGTTATGTGTAAATGTGATACGGAAAAGGTGCGCATATATAAGTCGCAAACGAGAACATCCAATGAGATTAAGATGAGTGGTGGTAACTAAGGAAACGAACTATAGTCTCTCTCGCCCTCACGTGTGCAATGAATATCACTTCACCACCGAACCAATTGTAAAGATGATCATTACTCAAAGGAATACCAATACAAGCCATATTTATTTCATATCTTAAACCTAAATCAACCTGGTCCGAACAACATTTTAGCATAGTCTTATATTATATAGTACACCATAGCATGGGGGCTGTTATTGATTTGTTGGAGCGTCGTATTTTGTATCTTTTATCGCACGTCTACACATGTTCGATTTGAATTCACTAACCCGAAACCCCCATTGACGTTAAAAGAGGTAATTTGATATATCCAGTAGCGTATTCCAAGCATAGAAAATAATAATAATACATAAGATGTTGTGGCTCAATACTCGAGGTTATTAATGTTTGGACAAGGACAAGCGTCGCTGCAAAGAATAAGAGTAAAGAAAGCACAGTGGAACATTTCTTATACTGCCTACCATCCCTTGACAATGATTATTCAACCACTTGAGACGCAAGTCTAGGAGCAATTATTTTATCATAAGCACTGACTCCTATGCTTTACCAGACACGTCAAACTAATTCTATTTGGGGGACATATGTGCGTGCAAACACTAAAGTTTATTTATTACTTATCGATCCTAAGATCGGTAAGTATGTTGATAGGTATTTGTCTGTCTGTATGTCTGTTTGTCTGTTAGATGAACGCGATATCTCACGAACGCGAGGTTGAATCTTCTCCAAATTTTGCATGTGCATGCATCATATCTCGGACCAGAAGCCTTTGATTTTGGGTTAATTATGTCGTATAATTAGCGAGTTATTAATTAATTATTTTTTTTTATAATTAGCAAGTTATTAATTAATTATTTTTTTTGCGGTCGTTAAAACCAATTAATCAGATTTAAGTTTGCAAACTACTTTGTTCATATTATTGTTTGTTTTTGGTTTTAGCGAATTAATGCCTTCAAATATTAGATAGGCATTGAAAGTCGAATATAGGGAAATACTCGACGGACTTGGCTTGCAATCAATCCATCCTTGAAAGTCATTGCGCCTGAGCAGATAATTTAGAATATAAGCTCGCTCTAATATCTTAATTCTATAGGCTGGGATTGGATTAACATAATTAATATACATGATAATATATGTTGTTTTTTCAATTGCGAGTGATAAACAGCGTTTAAGTAACGCAAGGCGTAAATGGTTACCAACTGATTAAAAAATATGGAGGTTTGTATTCGCCATCGTCTGAAGAGTGACGCTAAGGGAATGGCCCTAATTGGGAGCTAACCACAATAATAATGGTTACCAGTAGCAGCGTAACGGGTCCATTGTGATCAAATTATTATTAGCTAACTAATTTTATTAAACCCGTTAGACATGTACAGTTATTCATAATTTTTTATAAAAAATATCGGAGTTGGTCTTGACATGAAGACGTATTTGTACTTGCTCAGCTTTATGAATGAATAAAGTAGATGTAGCAAATTAAGGGGAAAACATACGCCTTGCATTGTGGAGATTCGCCTTGAACCTGTGTGGCCACCCTTTCATTGCCACTGATGATTCAGGATTTAAATTATTGGAGTTCAATATTATAAATTATGATCATATATAGATCAGGTTTGTACATAAGGCTTGTAAATTAAAGAGACGTTTTAGTTAACACAATAAATTATTCATTAGTTATTACTATAGTAGCGTAATACTGGCACTCAGTGGCACACACTACTGGTTCTGCAATCACAATGCCGCATCGAGGGACGTCGTTTGGGTGTATTAGCTTGTTTTTCATCGAGCTGATGTGTTTACTGTATGAGAGAGAACACACAGAGAAAAGGGTATCGTTTAAATATTTTCGAGACGAGATCGGCTGCGCAGTCTAGCTTCCCGATTCAAAAAATAACAATAGTTCGGTTTTGCGCTCGATTGCTAAAGTTGGGCGTCTTTGCCTTGGAAAAAATTTGCAGAGTGCACAGAAGCGATGTAGAAACTTCAGCATTTCCAGATAAATAAATGTAAATAAATAAATAAACAAAAATTACCGGGTTTAAAAATATTACTTGCAAAACAAATGCGGCAATTAATCATGTTTGGAGGTCGTTTTCGTCTAAAATGGGGGATAATCCGCCAGTTTATTAGATATGGGATCTCTTAATTAATCATGCCTGTTTTAATTTAGCTTAAGTTAGCTATATCTAATGTGAAAACTACTACAGCAGAGATGTCTTTTATGAAGATCTTGGCTGTTATTTTCATCTTCATGTTGTCGAAGGCGGCGTCTGCGACTGCAGAAGCGAAATGCACAGAGTAAGACATTCAATTTATTTGATACCTATTGCAGCTGGCAGCATATACAGTATAGCCTGAATATACACAGATCCAGATATTCCTCCTTGGCGTACCAGAAACATAACACGATAAGTCAGTCAATGGTGAAAAAATAAAACTAAGTACAATACCTTAAATGCAATTGATGAGATGATATCCCCAAGATTTGTAATGACGTTACCGATTCACTTGCAACAGCAATGAAGCAAAATCGCTTTCTTTCTGCTATTTTGTATATGTACTCGTAGCACTGCGGAATATCCATTATTTTCTATCGTTTTGAGATATCCACTTGGTTCAAACATTATGCAAAAACGATTGATAGGTATACTATATGTTCCATATCAAATTTTAACTCCATAGTTAAATCCAACGGAATAGAAATTAAAATCTTGTTCTAATTGCATATAACCAATCTTTTATCAACTTTCTTTTAGAAAGGACCCGCGCCAAGTTTATCCATATTGCATGTATTCTGGTACCGATAGTTCGCTGTGGTGCGACCAGTCCAATTACAAGAGATTACCTAGCGTGGATGAAATCAACAGACATTTAGCACCAAATCGTAACTGCACTTCAGCGAAAAAACTCTACGTCAACGACAGTTGCTTACAAGAGATAAGTGAAGGTTAGTAGCTGGACCTACAGTGCTATTTGAATCCTATCTACAAGTGATGAAATGCATTCGACGCGAGAACCTCATACATAAGCACAATAAGACCCCATGATATCATCTGATTCAATGACCCAATGTGTCCTTGGCAACCAGGAATAATATATACGGCGCAAACTGACTTTATGACTCATACTAATTGCAGGGTGTAACATGTAGGAGATAAATATTTTACAGCATGGGGGCAAAGAATACTTTCAAGGTCATAAAACATATTGCATTGTTTGAATTAGCAATTATATCGGTAAAACATTGCAACGATTCAATTATGTGCTTTTAATCAAATTCATAAAACCAACTCGAATTTAAAGGTAAACTGGAAAAAACAACTGTTCTACTCAGGACAGCTAAAACTTATCAAGTGTGTAATTAAGGCATTGCGATTCTAAAATAAGCGTTAGTAAATAAAGAGAATTATACCCTAAATATATTCACCAATATTTGTCATTGCATTGCAGCTTAAAAAAACATTTAGAATCGTAACATATAAACGTGAATAAACAAATGTTTGTGGTGCTACAGTTTCATAAGCATGTCAGTGGCATTTTTGATTTACAATTATTTCTGTGAATTGCGCCACTCATTTGGTTGAATTATAGTTCTCATAATTATATGTGTAATTAGGTTTAAACTCATGGTTACTGTAAGCTCGTAATTTTTAAAAGTTTATATTTTATTTTGTTAAAAATTTTACGCTGCTTCAGCGTGATGTCTACCGCCAAATATAGCCTACCCAGGTGCTGGGACAATACAAAGATAGACCTCAAGTAACCCAACGCTTAAGTGAGGTAGATCTCACGCTGAAGTGTGGTTGACCTGAAACTAAAGTAGCACCAACAATGTTGAATGAATTGAAATGATTTAAGAGCAACCATTTAAAAGCGTACAAGAATCATGGTTCAATGCAGCATCCAGATCACTTTTAGTTACTTTGAGCATATTTTCAGATCCAAATAAGTAATGTGTCTAGTTTGCATTTTTCACTTCTAACGTCAGCTTTTTTAGTATATGCAAATGATGTCCTCTGATATTTTTGGAGGAACCTTTCTTATGTGCACTAATAACAATCCACTCATTTTCACATGACCATATTATATATGTCCCGTAGTTTCATATGACTGCTGTAGTTACGTTGAACAATAAAATGCTGAACAAAAAGCTATTGCATTGTTTTTAAAAAATTCATCTTATTTTAGTTGCTGGAATCGCGACCTCGGAGAAAATTTGTAACGAATAGTTACCCATAATGAATAACTTCGACAAAAAATTATTGGAGTCGATCTGCTGTGGGTGGCTTCCAGAGAATACCGTACAATTTAAGTAATTGCTAACTATTTTGCTGATTTTAAAACAAACTGCTCTTCCGTTGTTTAAGATAAGAACCGTGCACAGGTAAAACGAATTTGCACGACTGATTAAAATAAGATTGATTGCATTTAATATCAATTAAAATAGCAGTGGTCTGGTCTAAAAGTTGAAGAGTTTACCGTGTGATAAATTTACGAGAATTCGAAAATGTGCACAGAGTACTTCTGGCGAATATAATAATCGTTTAGTTAGGGTCATATATCATAACGACACTACCTTGTTTGTTAATAATGAATAAATTGTGTTTTATTCTTTCATGATGAGAGAAGAGAGACATAGAAGAATTTTTTAGGCGGATGGTTTACGAAATAAGAAATGACAAATGTTAAAAAAAAAAATTAATTGAAATAAATAAATTTCATTCAAATATTTAATATCAAATTAAAATAGCAGTACTTTGGTCTCAATGTAAGAAGTTTGAGGTACGACATAATGAGAATTCTTGGCATTAGTAAATGTGTAACGAAATTATTTTAATCCGTTCTGATGATCTTGTTTAAATATAGATAGTAAATACCAAACATCTATGATTGTATATTATCACTCCACTACCTCGTTTGTAATATTGAACACACATGGACATAGTATATATATGTCATTATGATTTATTCTTGCGTAATGAAAATACACGTTGAGTTAAAGTAATATATTTATTCAACACAAGATACAGGATTCGGTCAATTTTGCATGAAATGTATTACAATGCAGATTTTATGGCAACTAACAGCAGTGAACCGTTGAAGGTTTCTATACGATAAACTGATTCCTTTATATTAGACGAGACCAATAGAGGTCCAGAAAACTACTGAATAAAAATAATCCACAACATAAAAATTGTCATTAGTAAATCTGATTGTTCGGACAAGTCATTTAGACGTCAAAAACTAACCAGAAACTCCCTAAAATGTAGAAAATCCCACCAAAACCGTCAAAAACCTACCGAAAACACACTAATACGTGCAAAAACCTACAAAATTAGTCAACAATCTACAACGATACTCAAATTTAAGTAATAACTGGGATTGCAGATGTGATATCAGGCAGCAAACGACAAAATTGTTATTTTATAAGGGCGAGAATGTTTTGCCAATTTTTTTTTTACTTTTTAGATGATCTCAAACCATATCAAGAAATATCGATATTGTACGGAGACAGGAACAACATCGTTCACTTGGCTTCAGAAACATTCGAAAAGAACAAGAAATTAGAGAACATGAACTTCCGCTCGAATAAAATTCAAGCCATTGAGCTATACGCCTTCAGAGGTTAATCCAATAATAATATTTTCACTTTCCCGCTAAAATGCGGTGAGCTACCGGTATTTATATTTCCACGCAAGGTGTTGCTTAGTCAGTCACCTCGTTGAACTTGTGTTGTAGGAATCTTGAGTCTTTCTTGCAAAGCCCACGCCTAAAAAACACTGCAATGCTCAAAATGAGAAAATGAGCAATTATCCAGTTATGGTTTGGGTTAGAAATGCAGATTGCGCTGAAATTTCAAATTTTCAAATCCAACCCTAACCGTAACCCTAATCGGATAATTACTAATTTGTTATTTTAAAACGTGGCATTTTTTTTTGTCCTAAAATAATGATTTTCATACAAGCTCAAGCGTGGAAAAGAGTCCTCAGCTAAACTGAGTTGTTCTTCTTCTAACGCCATGTTGGAAGAGTCGTAAGAGATCAGAGGCAATTCCAATAATAACATTATTTCTCCCTCACTGAAAGTTATCTAAGCATTCCATAAAACTCGTCATTCAGAAACTTTTGCAATTTCATCGACAACAACTAATTTTCCACATTTTACGATTCTAAATATTATTATACTTATTATTATGTTTATCAACAGGTCTTAAACAATTGAAACGTTTATATCTTGATGACAACAAAATCACAGAACTGCATCCAGGGACGTTCGCCGCCTTGTGTTCACTCCAGGTTATATCTTTAAAAAACAATCAACTGAGATCAATAGGCCGAAGTCATTTTAATTCCTTGAAAAAGTTGGAAACTCTACAACTTCAAGGTAAATTTTGTATGGATGATTTAAATAAAAATAAAATAAAAATGGGTTATGAAAATTGAATATGAATTAAGAGTACTTCAATCAGCATCAATTGTAAAAGCAGGCCAACTTTAATACACTTTTATACCCTACTTAATACACTCACTAATGATAAAGGAGTTATAGAAATGTTATGAAATACGAATATCACTATAAATATTGAAGGTAAAAGAGATATAGTTTATAAAGTTCGTCAATTATTTAAATTGTCGTCAATAATCATACGGTGTTTAATAAAAGGAGTACAGCAATCCTATCGCATATAATTGTCCCCAACCAGATTAAAACCTTTGCAGAGTAATACGTTGGGTAATAGCAAACGTTTTGATAACGCTTAGCACAATGCGCCGTGACAACTTGCCGCTAACAATAAAGTTATTTCTATTTAGGTAATTTGATACAGCGTATTGAAGACCGATCGTTCAGTACATTGAAAGGACTTAAAAATCTTCACCTTGACAATAATAAAATATCTGTTATCACGCCCAGAACCTTCAGCGGGTTGGAAGGGCTCGAAACCTTAACTTTAACTCATAACGGAATCAGATCGTGGCCAAGAACATACGGGGTAATATATTATTTTCTACAATCCCTGCTTTAACTACCAGTTGCGGTTAAAAATCTTGCAAATACGTGCAAAAAATAAACAGTGAAAATGCGTAAAAACACCAAAAATCTTGCAAAAACAGTGAAAAGTCATCAAAACCCACTAAAAACCTTGCAACGACGTCCAAATACAGTAAAAATGCGTCAAGAAACCCCAAATAAAACTTGCAAAAACCATGAAAAACCTTACAAAAATGTGCAGGAGTATACGGAGTAGGATTTATTTTCCACAATTCATGCTTTAACTACCAGACGCTGGAATAACAGACTACCTTGGCGCAATTGGATTCTTTTGCGTATGAATGCAAGGATGCTGCAGCACAAAAAAATAGACTATTCTATTCCATTCAATAGTCTTGCTGCATTCTAACACAAATATACAGTTTAAATATAAATGCCCGAAGATGTCTGACCTCGACTAGACAGAACATTGCAGAGATGCATTGTGTTAGTTTACAGCAAGACTGGTGAGTTATATATTATACTGGTGGTTTACGGAATTTACAGTTTTTTAAACCAGCTTTGTGCAATATCGCTTTTCCTACTTGGCACAATTTCATATTTGTATATTTTATTCATATTTTCAGGTTGTTTTCGTCAATCTGCAAACACTACATCTTGGCAGTAATGCCATATCAGAGATATTTCTACCGGAACACGTAGAAAATGTGGCGAAGCTCAGGTAGGTAATCATACAGTACACATGTATTAAAAATACATTAATAAAATTTGAATTACTTATTAAATATGTCCAGTTTAGTAGAATAAGTACCATGCCGTCGCTTCCAATTGCATGGTATATGTCAGAGGGTTGGTTAACATTTTTTTAGGAAATACGATAAGCACTTCTATATAGTGTGTCTACCAGGTTTGAGTCAGGCCATGATTTTATTCCGATTTTATTTTTATTTAAATTCCATTACAAGTTCGAGGACTGTTTACGTCAGCTAAGGGAAAATGAGCTGCCCATAAGTTTCAGTACTTTTAATTAAACAACTGGATGAAATATGGCGAACAAAATTAGTTACCTCCATATTGGTACGCACACTTATGGAATGCCATAAGATTAGACTTTTGAACATATACCGATCTCAGAAGTAACTTACCTTGCAAATGACAACTGCCTCAACTTGTTTTAGTTATGTCGCGGCAAAAATTTGATTTTAACACAACATGTAAAAAGAAAATATCACAATTTAGATGAAAAATCCGAAATAGCATCAAATTATTAACTTTAATGCTAATCGATATCATATACTATATGCTACATAACTATATGCTAATCGATATCATATACTTCAACCTTCATTTTATTAATGTAATAATTTGTACCTTCATTTTACCCAGAATTTTTTGTTTCAGATATCTGTCATTAGACAACAACTTGATTTCAAAACTGCATCCAGACCTATTCCAGGCTACCCCAGAACTTCAACATTTAAACTTGAGTAGTAACAGTTTTGAAGATATTCCGGCCGATGCATTTGAATCATTGAGGTAAGACAGAGTCGCTATGCAATATCGGTCAAGACCGCTAGAAACCTTGTTAAAACGTTTGAAAACAGTAAAAAAAAAAAAGCCAAAACCAGTAAAACTTGTCAAAGCGTGCGATAAAAGCGATACGCCCAAATATGTTCCCGTCGGGCGCAAACTCGAAGTCGAAGTTCACCCAGATGTTATAAATTTGGAAAGAAAAGTGTCACAGTAACGTAATAAAACCTCCAAAAGCATACGTATGGTCGTCTAACAAAAATGCGCAGATCATTTAAAACCGAGCAAGCTTTTTCTCTAGTTTTTTTTCGTCGTAGCGATCCCGACATGAGAGAGATCGCCGTGTTAGTGAGCTCAATATCGTCAGCACAGATGCCATTTCGGACAATCGTGGCTATACTTTGGCAAGCTCCATGACGCGATTGTGAAGTAATTTTGGATGACGTAGTCAGGTGGGGGTTAGAAATACTATTTTATAAAATCATTAAGCTACACCCACTAGAAGTTATTGTGGGCGCGTACTTCGTGAGCGAGTCCGGAAAATTCCCCACAGGATATTTCGCCGTAGGAAATCTCGCCGAATCATTTTGCTGTAAATCAAGTATTTGTGGTAATAACAGTTAGGTCTATAGGGCATGCTCTTAAATAACGACCCGTTTTTAATTTAAAAGCTACTTCAAAAACTTAACTGTTTTTAACAAAAAAAAATCTTGTTTCACAGCAAAATGCTCTTTTTTTCCCATGCGGCGGAATTTCCTGCGGCGAATTTAATTATAACCCTTCGTGAGACCCCGTTGCCTTTGCTAAAAGAGTTTTTAAACTAGATAATGTTGAAGTGGTAAATAAAAAAAACATGATATTTGGCTGAAACAGATTTTCTATTCATTCTTATTTATTTATTATTTCTAGATTATTCTTATTTATATTTAGTAAAAGTAAATATTTTGGGGTTTGAAAATTTTAATTTTTTTTTATTTCTAGTGAATTGCATTCGCTTATCTTAAAAGACAATCGATTGAAAACACCAAAATCTGACTGGTTTAAAAATGTTATCAAGAATGCAAACGAAGAAAGTAATGTGGGGTTAGAAATGAACGACTGGATTTGTGATTGTGAGAGTTTAAGCTATCTGGTGAGTTAGGTATTTTAAATATTTAATTTCTACTATTACAGTGAATTGCCATCACACTTTCTATTTTTTCATTTTAGAGTGCATATAAAAATAAAAAAATGTTGAAAATCATAGCCCGGCATGACATTTATTACGGAATTATCAATTCAACATTTGTCATTGAAAAAAGGATCCCCGTTTTGTATTGTTTACTTTTACACAAATATTAGGTAGAAGTTGCTATAATTTTGTGCAGACTCGAACTTTTTGTTATGAAAAGTCGTTTTTAATGCCAAAACAAATAATATTGCTCTGCAAATAATTAGGTTAGAAGAATTTTATCATTGACTTAATTTAAATAATTGTTCACAAAATGGTAAAAAAATTCACATTTTGTTTTTAGCAATACGTCGAAGATTTGCATAAACACGAAAATCCGATAGTCCGATCGTTAGCAAGAAGCCTTCAAATAGTTTGCCACAGCCCAGATGACCATCAGAATAAACTTTTGGCCCCGGAACTGGGAAACGAAATAATATCTCGTCAAAATTGTACACATTCCATTTTTGATATCCCCCCACCAACCACCCCATCCGTCGTTGTAAAATCGAATAACCCTAACGATGAAGAATCTAACATCCCAAAATATATGCAATCGTCTACAGAAATTGAAAATACCATTCCTATGATTTTTGAAGTATTTACCGAAAATGAAAACACAGGCGTAATTGTGGGCATTTTAGTTGGATTGTGCGCTGTGGCTATCATTGCGTTGGGCATTTGGTATCGCAAACGCAAGAAATCAGATTTATCTGTTTTCAGGAAACGTAATTATAGTACTCGTAGCCAAACGTCGAATCCATTAATAGCGGATGCGTAATTACATTTGCTATTGTGCTTGCAGCTTGTGTAATTCCAATCAGCCCTATCAATACATTTTCGGTGATCAACCATTACTCAAATTTAGAATCTTCAGAAGTAGCCAAATCATTTTAACCTGAAATAAATACTCTACATTACCTATTTTACTTCTGGATATTATATTTTTATATACGTTTTTTATACTCAAAAATGTTTAAACATGCAATGTCTCTGATTAATGCATCTTAAAAATATCTAAATTACTTGTTTAAAATTATTTTCTTCTATTTCTTGTCGTTATTGTTATTGGAAAAAAATTTTTCTCGTCGACTACTGGAACAATTGCTTTAAAATTCTCAGCTGTTGAATATTGTTGTTTTCGCTAGTTGTTGTTCTCTATGATTTTTAGTATTTTCCTCCCTATTCCTATTTTAATAATTTTGTTTCATTTAATTAAGTTTAAGAATTCAATTATATATGAAGTTCTCTCATCTTTTACTTAGAGTTCATTAGTTTGAGGCTATGGTGAATGATTAATAAACGTAGTAGGCTCCGGTGGGTGCTTAGTCATAATTTGGTGAATACCAAGCTTCCATCAAATTTATTTTAGTTTTATTTTCATTTTATTCAATTATTTTTCACTGTATTTCACTGTTTTTCATATGTTTTTAAAAATTAGCGAACATAGAAAAACGTCCAAAAAAAAAAATAAATTGCAATTGATTTTGTGATCCAGGATGTGTGACATTTATGAATTAAAAACAAACAAGGCGCAAATCTCTAATTAACATATGTAGGTGGACACATAGAACTAATTCTTGCTCAGATTTCAAGCTCAAGTTTGGATGGGTTTAACAAATGTTCGTAACCTCGTGGGTCGTAATCATGAGCCAGCGATGCGAGCGTGGTCAGACGTGCATTGGTCTCGATTACGAGCAAGCTAATATTATCCAAAATTGAAAATAGAAAAAAATGATCGTGCGAAAGAAGAAAACATTATTAAAAAAATGTAAACTGAAACTTGGTGCGGGTTTTAAAAATTACTGGGTTACTAAAAATACGGAACCGAAATTGACCTTCGCGTAGGCGGAAAAACAATACTTGGCAGGGCGATAAGATTTGTTTGCCAATGTAAAGAGATAAAAAAATGTAGAGGCAAGAAATAGAGGAACAATGTATCAGGAAACAAACACAATACGATTTTCGTAACTTTAAGGGGAATTCAATTGTAATGCAATTGTATGCAAGTGTTAGTAGATAGTATGGATACATTTATTGAATTTTCCAAGTAAAAGATAAAAAGTCGAAAAAAATCACCAATATTTTAAGCCTAATGTGTCAAATTGCCTGTGACGTCATCTTAATTGCACCAATAAATACATAAATCATGTTGTATTTGTGCTTGATATGGGTACCTCAAAATACAAAACTGTGAAATTTGCTGCGTTTGATTGGAATACCTGAGCGGGTGAAATATTTGTTTGTGATTCTGAAGAGTGTGGTATGATCGTGTATAGGTAGGTACCTTATAAATCATTTGCAAAGATTAGAGGAACAATGTTGCAGATGACAATCATGTCCTTGAAATTTTGCATTCGTAGTATTATTAGTTCATCCATTGAAAATTTCAGTTAAGTGATGAAAAGTTTATAAACAAGAATGATCAATACCATAAAGCAGGGTTTTCCAAACAAGGATCCGCGGACCCCAGGGGTCCGTAATGACGGTACAGTCCTCAATGATATGAAAAGAGTATGATCGATTTTTAATGATTGATTTCAATCCAAACGTCACTTCATCTTTTTGGTTGAGCGTTGCGGTCGAATATCCATTGCTGACAGAACAGACAATTAAATTTTATTGCTCTTTGCAACGACATACATGTGTGAGGCAGTATTTTAAGCTCTCATCAATATGATGAGAAAATACAGATTGCGACTTGCCGTATAGTTGGACCTATTAGTTTACTTGTCGCAAACTGTTCCGAGTATTGTTAAATTGTGCAGTGAAAAGATTTTTATTCATCACATTAAAATCGTTTGTTGTGTTGCAAATAAAACATTATCCTTCCACGTTGGTTAGGCACAAAAATTGAAACTGCGTAGAATGGGGTTCAGTCATAAATAAGATTAACAAACAGAGGTCCGCGGCCCAAAAAGTATGGAAAGCCCTGCCCTAAAGAATGTGACTCGTTTGATATTTTTTGCCGCATTAAGTAACTAATAACGTTATCTTGATGAACGGTTTTTCTTTTTAGACCAAGGCTTATGAACGCGAATACACTCGTGGATGTCTGAGGTATATTTACGGCGCGTAAAACCGCGAATGCTTTTTCATCATAAACTGAACCACGACCTCTCGTCTTTTGCCAATCCGGGCATAAAAATGTCGGTAGAAGCATACCCATTGTTGGAGGCGCAGAAAAAATGGTGAAATAAAAGTGATAAAAACATGTACATCCGTTAATTGCTGTCATTGTCTGGTCTGTTTCACTCCTTTCGCCGAATCGGCAAAACTTTACCGTGATAAATCACCATATTAGTGGCGGCTTCTCTTTGAATTGCGGCGTCTGAAAACACGTTCTGATATCGGGCCTTGTCAGTTTTCAAAGGGGGAGGGACAAATAACTTTACAAGAAACTTTAATTTCAAATAACATCACATCATGATTGACAGATGTTTCACAGGCAAATAGTTAAAACATATTACCAGAGGTATATAGTTAACAAAAGGCAAGCAGACAGAATGCTTGAAACGTCCGGAAAAACACCTACAGGGCAAGAGAGGACGGAATTTTGATGTGCGTATTATGCATGGAATTTACATATAAAAGTTAACAAAGGAAAGCCGAGTTATTTGATAAAATATTTTTTATTGCGTGTGAACAATCAGCGAACTGTATAAGTGGTGAATTTTATGTTTGCAATATTTCATGTGCTGAGAGGATCCATTACAATAATTGGGAACTTATAATTACATTCATCCTAAGTATTCGAGATTCGATTAAAAAAAATTTGATTTGATTCTGAAATCATCCGGTATTGGAAAATGACACCCCTTCTAAATATATATATATATATATGTGCAACATACTACCACCGGTATGTAAAATTGTTGTTCCCTTTGAATCCGAAGAAATATAAGCACACAAAAAAAAACAATTTTAATCGTTTTATCAAACAGTGCCGTGGTAAAATTTTATATTTGAACATCTGCCGATGACGCGCGTTTAATTTTGAGTATATTCAGTTCAAGAAATGACGCATGGCCAAAAAGATCCTTGCTATTACGTCAATCCTTTATTTATATATTGATAAGCATTTCGGTATTTTCGTCTTATTGTACGCGGATCTGTGAAAATAACATTTGAAACAATAACCTTCTTTTAATATAACGATTCTCCACCAGGGTGCCATGAGGCATACAGAGAGATTGGAGGTGGGGCCACAATGCTAGGCGCAGAAATGATTTTACATTTCCCTTTACAAGAAAACTCCCTAGTTCTTCCTAGTTTCATTGCTTGATCAGGGTTATTTCACAGAGTGTTTTCACTTTGTTGATCATGAGTTGTTTAAACATAATGAAATTTGAAATCTACCAATCGGTATAACGATCTAAATATCACTGGAATGATGAACAGGGGTGTCATGAGTGCTTTACGCCTCCGGAATGGGTTGGTGGCTTGAAATCACTGTTTTAATATAATAGAAAAGAATCCATGTAAATTCTCATTCGCAAATACGTCCACACTGCGTGCTCTGTTTGTTTGATGGATCGAAGGGTCATATTTTGACAAATATGTTTCTATACTTATGACGGCCATCGTTTGTATTTTTAAGATCATTTGCATAATGATATTCATTTTTCTGTTCAATTATACACTTATCATTGGAAACAACACCAGAAACAGTACCCCTGTTTTATTATATTGGAAAAGAATTCATGTAAATTCTTATTCTCAAATACGTCCACACTGCGTGATCTGTTTGTTTGATGGATCGACGGGTCATATTTAGCCAAAAAAATTTGCTATACTTGTGACGACAATCGTTTATATTTTTAAAATTATTTGCATCATTGGAAACAACACCAGAAACAGTACCCCTGTTTGATCATATTGGAAAACAACCCATGCAAATTCCTATTCTTAAATCCTACTATACTGCGTGCACTGATTGTTTAATGGGTCGACGGGTTATAAGTTTTTTCATACATTTTTGACGACAATGGTTTGTATTTTAAAACATATTTGCATACTAATTATCATTTGGCGTTTTTTTTTTCATTTTACATCTATATTTGAAAAGAACACTAGAACTAATACCCCTGTTCTATTATATTGGAAAAGAATTCATGCAAATTCTCATTCTAGAATACGTCGAAATTTTTGCTCTGATTATTTGACAAGTCGATTCTTGTTTAATCGCCGTAACATAAACTTGCATGAAACAAAACAAAAGCATATTTCAAACCGAAGCAGTGACAAATAAACAGAAATGTGATATATATATAGGTGTATTTATATCTGCAAGACATCTGTGGTAATATTGTGTCGTAAGCAATGAAGATATTGTGTTGAGACCAATGTGAAATATGTTACAATAGACTTGATAAGGGCAGGATTTTTCGCAGGGGTATAGCGTATAGGATATATCATGACGGGATTGTGTGCTATTGTATAATTGCCATTATCATTATACAATTGTTTGGAATCGGTGACATTGTCCGACATTGTTGCATGGTAATTGCTGTTTTGTCTAATTTTAAATGCGTTTGCATTGAAATAACATATGGAAAATACCGGCCCTCCATAACTATAAAAACTGTATGCTATGTCAGCTTATTGAGCAATTTGGCAAGGACATATGTTGTTGTTGCTTTCATTGGGTTTACTGACACTACCGTATTATTGTATGATTTCTTTCATGGGCGTGTTAGAGGAGGCGGAGGCGCATGTGTTTTTTTCCTTTCGTGCTTATTGCCGCTTCTGTATTATTGTTTATGAATAGGACGCGATAGGACAAAAGGGTCTATATTATTCCACAAATATATTGTGGGGCTAAATGAATATTATTAAAAGAATAAAAACTACTGTAGAATATTAAAGGAAATTTCTTCAGAAACCCCCGTGTCGTATTATTGGCTAATACAATGCCAATTTTTTGTGTTGCTGCTTTGTTTGCAGAAATTATATAGTTTACAATAAGATTGATAAAAATTGAAAAGCAACAGATTTAAGCATATGTACTCCACGGGTGTTTATTAATAATAATAAAAAGTACAAACCCTCTAAAAATATGTCCTATACATGACGTCAGAAATTCTAAACCATGCAACAGTTTGTCGTTTTTACGACTTATTATAAAATAAAATGGCGAATGGGGCACAGAAAGCAATGGGACATAAAACAAATTTAAAGGGGCCAAATCTTCTCTCTAAACTGTTTGACTTGAAGTTGTAAAAACGAATAATCAATATAAAGTTTACTAGTTTATTTCAAATTAGGTGTCCAATCTGATGAAAAGAATCAAAGGCCCAATAAGTTCTTCTTTAATTTGAACAATTGTTTTGGGGACATATGAGTACGAGATAAATATTATCCCCAGAAAACAATTTCTATGTAAATATTTACCCGGAACATGATTCCATTATGTGGTGGTGTTGCTTGATAACACAGTTGTGTTTTGGTATTTTAAGAAGCGATA